TTGTTGAAAGCTTGATTGTTTTCCCAGACCATGGACAGAGTCTGTATAATATGGCAAGCTACATTCTTATTTGACCGTATATTGTTTTCTTGTAATTATAGGCTTCCCAAAGTTACTGAGGAATTGTGGACTCTCAAAATTTAATTTATTTAAATACTGGTAATAAATTTATTATATTAGAAATATACATGGTAATATTTTGTAACGAAAGCTACTGGATTCTACCAGACTCTCAATTCTACAAAAATATTCCACAACATGCACTTTTACAGCATTTTATATTATTCTGTTTCTGCCCATTCATTACTCAGCTAAATCTTTCCCAACGGTATTTTGATTTCAAAATGTTTTTAATAAAAGTTTTTATTTTAAATAAAGATACACAACAAATAATCTTTTCTTTACAAATCACCATGTTCTTTTTCTTTCACTTGCTAGGTGTAGATGGTGGAACCCACTCTTGTATCTTCTTACGTGTTGTAGAGTATGGTACATATTGTTTAGGAGTACCACTTTCATTCATTTTATGATTTTGGAAAATGAATTTACGACTCACTGGTGGATGTGTAGTTGGGGGCTCTTCTGTCATACAGTGAATCCAACGATGCCTTGTAAAGAAAAATACAATAAAAAAGATTTCTTAAGGACATATATTTGCACACAAAGATTCACATCAAATTATGTTTTATGGGAAACAGTAATACTACCTAAAACATCAAAAATAGTTACATTTTAAAAATTATGCAGACTTATCAGTTAAATTTTATATTTAATAAATTTGAAGTCATAGAAATTAAATATAGTTGTCAAAAAACAGAGCAATTTCTCATCATTCAATAACTTGACAAAGCTAAGGCTACAAGATTTGAGCTGCAAATGCTACTAGTTTTATAGACCTTTCTGCTGCCAATGAATGGTAATCGGGAGTTTTGAAGTACAGATGCAGTAGTCCAAGAGAAACTTATGCTTATGACAAGCTGACTAAATAAAAATATGATGAAAGTAAATATGAGCATAGACTGAAAAATACGGTAATTTGTATGCCACCCATCTTGCCAGAAGCACTTTTAGGTGATCTACATACATTCAATTAAAATGTAGTAAAACATTAAAACAATAAATAAGGATCATAAATTTAAAATCCAATTAAAATAAAATTAACTAGGATGGAGAGGAAGGGAACAAAGTGTGCACAGGTAAGGAGTGGGGTGTTATTGTGGTAAATTAGCATAATTACTATGGCAATTGTTTGGACTATTGGCTCTCTCTCTCTCTCTCCCTCCCTCTCTCCTTCATATGTAATATTGTTTTTGGTTCTATCAAACTTTTTGTAACATTTTTTTTCAGATTTTATCACAATGAAATACCCAATAAGGCCATTTAATTTTTCCTCAGAATGCTACCAATCATTCTACAAGTACATAAAACAAAATTCCAAAGACACTGGTCAATTTCCAGTAATAAATATGCATTTATAGTGACGTTTGAACCTAACACTTTCACTGATCTGAAATAATGATTCATAATGATACATTTGCTGGTAAAGTGTTAGAGATTGAGGTATAGTTTAAAAGACTCTAATTAATTTACTTTATAAACAGAATTGTTCTAAGCTACCTGTTCTACAAGTTAATAAAAACATAAATAAATGTATGTATCAAACTATCTGATTTACCATTCAGGAGGTATCATGCTTCCATCTAAATCCCAGTATGTGTTCCTGCCATCCATTTCTGCAGTATATATGACCCACCTATGACGACCTAAAAGATAACCATTTTAAAAAGTATATTGGAATTTTTAAATGATGAGTCTATGTATGCTATTTTATTAATTACAAACTAATTCTCTTACAGTTACACAAAATCAAGTTTTGTGGTCATCTATATTTCTATTCTCAATTTTGAGAAGGACTAGCTTGACATATGGAAAGAAACAGGATAATTAGAAACCAAAAATATCATTCACATATACAGTTTTTTTTTTAAATCGAAGAATGCAGGACAACATATGTAACTTTGCTATGACTTCCCAGAAACCAATTTAGTTTAACAATTTAAATAACTATTATATTTGGTGGGGGGAACTTCTAATGGTAAAATTTCAAATGGAATTACAAGCACAAATACCTATTGGTTTTCTATAAGATAAACTACTTGTTTATACTTTTATTGTTGGTAAATATGTTAAATAATCCTAATTCTTTAGAAGAATAAACTCAGATAATCCATACATCCTTACTTACCAAAAAAGAATCTTTTGTCTTCATAGTATTTGTTTCCATATTTATCAGTCCCGACTAGGGTACCAACCTTCAGATCATTGACCCTGTGAATGTCCAAAATAAGATAAAATCTTCAAGGGGTTTATAGTTATGTGACAGTCTACAGGCTTTGCATGCAGAAAGTCTTGAATTTAACCTCTGCCATCTTCAAATAAATTGTGAAAATCTCTCTCTAAAAGCCTGGAGATCACCATTAAATAAATAATGCAAAACTACTGTATAAGGTAGCTTTGGTTGGTTTTACCTTTCAAATATCTTATTAGGGCAATCAAATGGATAAGAATTTGTTTTCAGTTGCTGCTCCAAATAAATAAAACTATTAGGGGAAGGTGAAAATAATAATGTCCCCTACATATTACTTTAATATTATTTATTACATTCTTAAAGTTTACAAATAACACTGCAGAAGTATTATTTCTACCTAACTTGCTTGCAGCTAGACAAGTTATCTGCCAAATGAGTTCACTCAAAATAGTGTTTTGGGTAGCAGCCTGAAAAATTATTCCCAAATAATTTTAATTAATTATCTGTTCTCTAAGTGACTAACCACCTCTGCTGTATTACTTAAACTATTGCTATCCCTTCCTTTAGCACAGCACCGGTGAAACAAGCAGCGCAGATGTCTTTCTTAGTCCAGTTACAGTAACCTTGTTAAAAAGCAAGGTCGAGAGGCAAGGAGCAGCTCGAAGTCAAGAGCTAGGCCAGAATGACAGAATGCAATCTGGACATCCCAAACCTTGGACGGCACCATAAACGGCGCCCCGTCCTTTCGCAGGGATTACGCCCCAGTCAAGAATAGCACAAAGTTAGAGAAATGTTCTCAAAAGTGATCTTCCCAACAACAGGCTTTGCAGCCACTATAAGGTCGCTCTAATTCCCATCTCGAGAGATGCCCGCTCCGGACATCAAAGGTCAGCTTCCCTTCGGCCCTTTTCTGCTTAACTCACGAATTTTTGGAAATACTCTTTCCTCTAACGATCCTGAGGGTCATGTCATTCAACCCTGCGAGACGCAGTTTCCAGCAAGGCATTCCCCAGCAGGGAAGAACCGGCCACCCTCGTTCCTCATGTTGGCGCAACCATCACATTTCACCTGAGCAGTTGCCACATAAGGCCACGAACGCCGCCATGTCCACCGAGCTGTTGCAAGGCCCTCTTCATCACCTGCACATATTCCGCCATTTTCCCTATTCTCGTGGAGCTCCGCCCCTCCTTACTCATTTCTGCGCCTGCGTCGCAGCTCCTTGATTTTTGAAGATTCAACAAGGGAAACTGTTCCGTTTCGCTCAGCTTGCGAAAGGCGATATTTTCAATTTTAACGCATAATTTAGAGCATAGCAATTAATTTGCGTGACAAAATTGAATATGAAAAGAATAACATTTAAACCATTTGGAAATATAACTTTTATCTTGCCATTTTATAACATTTTCAGTTTCAGTATTACCCAATGTGTATCAGACTCAGATTATTTTTTCTGTTGTGCTTCAAACTTGGTACAGTCTCTTAAAACAGGAAACCAAACTCAATTGTATAGAAACGGAGAAAGTAAACAGATAAGCAATAAACAACTGGAAAAACCCTAATGAAGACTCAGTGTGATCATTCACGTTAAATTTCAGAAAAATATTAAACAAATTACTGTATATTGAACTGTAATATTGATGTATAATTTGCCTAAACTTTCTTTAAATAATGCAATTAACAGGATTCTCTAATAAAAGTTACAATTTATTTTTTAAAAAATACAGGCAAAATAGAATTTACACTTCTTTAAGTTTAAAGACATTTACAACAGTATATTACACAATAAGGTAGTAATTGGGACATTATGATGTGTACATTACAAGCGAATCACTAAAACGAATAAAAAATTGGAATGGAATTCAGAATCAATTTCTACTGACTGCAGAACAGATTTACAGACACCATTTAGGGAGGTGTGCAATTCAAATGATTTTTAAATATGCTTTAAAACAGGACAATTTATATATGTAAGATGTTGCCAAAATACATCAAAAGCTACCACAACCGTAGATATGATTAATTTCTGCATGTGCCCAAGTATATGCATATATTTTGTGTGCATAAAAAATTAACTATTCATTATTATTAGGTGTTTCATTATGAAATATATAAAAGATATCCCTTTGTAGTCAAATAATTTTTAAAACCTTGAAGTAAATAATCTTATCTGTCACACATTACATAAACCCCTTTTTATTAATTAGTAGAGCCCATAATTTGATAAAAGTGGTTCTATTGCTGATTAAGAATATCTAAAGTAAGGTTGAATTGTATCATCACTGTATCAGTATCCCCTGATATAGTAATATATTGAATTAATGCTCAACTACCTTTACTAAACAACTAAGGAAAAACACACTTTTAATAAATCTGAAAAGTGCATTTGGAAAAGTTTTCAAAAGCTGAAAATACAAAGCAGCAAATTCAAACATGGAAACATAAAATATGAAATAGGATTCTAGTGCAATCACTGCTATTTAGGAACAACATGCCATTTAGTATGCAATACATATATTTCATCAAGGTTTATTCACTTACTGCCTTTTCAGATTATTTTTTCTAATTTTATCTGAATTCTTTTATGAAAACCTGGAACTTAAACTTTAAAGTTTTAAGAACATAGAGAAAATGAAAGATGGGAGAAGAGTTTTTCCACAGATTAAAGTCTTAAACCTTTAAGGTTTAAGTTGGTAATTTTTATCAATAAAAGTGATAATTTCATTCAGTAGTGTAATTCTAATAGTGGAATAGCATCAATCTGTGGAAAAACTCTTCTCCCATCTTTCATTTTCTCTATGTTCTTCCCAAATTTGCTCCAGGTTTAAGATAAGGGAGCAAACCTGGGATACACAAAAGGACTGAGGAAAAGTACAATGTGCAAGCTTCATTGCTCATATAACACTGGATGTGGCTGAATGTGTTGTTTCACAGAGTTGCATACAATGAAATTCAATATATTTCTCCAAATTTACCTAGATACATGTGCTTAAACATTATTAAAGCACAATCACAATGGCAAATGATTTTGCATGTATAAATAACAGGAGTTAGGAATAACAATTTTGATGTGATTAAAATATCTAGGATTATGTTTACTCTGAAATCTTGGCAACTGATAAATAACTTTGAACATAACAATTATTTGTACTTCAAATTAATCTAAGTACTGCAAAAGATGTAATCACTGATTTGGAAGGCTAACATGAGATAAAGCCCTGTTTTAAGTAATTCCAAAATCACCTGTTTCTGAATAAAAAATTAACTTCTGAAAAAAGTAGCTGAGTTATCCAGAATTGAAACTCTGTCTCAGAAATGGAAGCAGAAAGGAAACTGACAAAAGTAAACTTATAGAAACAAAATACTGAATCCAGAACATTTGGAGAAGAAATTTATTTGTCCTAGTATCAGGTTGAAATGTTTTTTTGAAGCTTCTCTTTATCAAAGGTTAACATGTGTATTTGCTTGAAGTTCACAAGTTCCATGTATAGCTAAGCTACAAAAATAGGATGAACTACACTTCTTGATTTTCACTAATTATCAGAAATGTACAAAGTTCTTGAAAATCAGATAAAAGGCAAGTCATCCTGTACCAGCGAAGATATTCCATTGTCTTTTCCAGATGAATTGCTAAAGAAGAATTAGCACCTTCCTTTATTTTTTGTGCTACACCTTCACAGGAAAACTTTTTTTTATCTCTTGGAGATAATGTACATTTAAATCACCACGATTGCCATGGTATAGAAACTGGTTTTTTTTTTTTTTTTATATAGTATGGCCAATTATTTGAGAGTTATAGTCTGCAGTCTCCATTCGTAGAATATATGGTATGATACTGTCAATCTGAACATTTCCAATGAGTCCTGCAAAAAACAGTTCTTCTGTGATAGCTGCACTCATCAGTCTTAAGGCTGGCAATCTGAGAAGTAGCCTAGAGAGCCTGGAAGACAGATTTGACAAACAGTGGCGCACTTTTACATGTATAGATGAGACTGATTCTTTAATACCAACAAATATTAGCAAACAAAAAGTATAGTTTTTCAGCAATAAATGCTAAATCAAGCATTATTCATATTTTTCATGATACAATCCTGTTGGCAACTCAAGCTAAATACCTCATTTCTGAAATTTTTGACAGACACAATATGAGGACCTCCATCCTCCCCACATACTTTACACCAGGGGTCGCCAACCTTTTGGACCTCAGGAACAACCAAACTCATAATTTTAGATCCCAGGGACCACTAACCGGTTCTGCGGGCATGGCCTAATTTGTGGGTGTGGCTTGATGGCTGGGCATGGCATATATGCAAATATTATAAATATTTATATACATATTTATTTATTTTTAAAAGAGCAACTTTTACCCAAAATCAGGCAAAGTAGGCAGGCAGATTGAGTTGCTCACGGAATCAGATTAATTCAGAAATTTATCTATCTGCCATTGGCTAGCTCAGTCTGTCACATAAAATTTGCTTGCAAGCAAACTCATAAAATTAACTCACAACACACCATGTATGTAAATATTGAATTTTTTTATTTAAAAAAGAGCAACTTTTACCCAAAATCAGGCAAAGCAGGCAGATTGAGTTGCTCACAGAATCATTCAGTGATCTATCTATCTGCCATTGGCTAGCTCAGTCTCTCAAATTTGCTTGCAGTGAGTCTGCACTGAATTCGCTTGCAAGCAAAACTTCAGTCCTAAGGGAGGTTCAGCTGTGCTTAAAAGCAGAGCCGAAGATCTAAAGACTAGCTAGAAAGCAAGAAATCCAACCATTTCCTGCATCCTAGCTAATCTAAATCTCCCGGCACAGCAGAACAGATGATGGTCAGAAAAAGGAAAAATAGAAATTTAGCAGGCAAGTTTACTGGGTAAGGAGTGGGTGGGCGGGGAGGGTTCCTGTGGGCCATGTGGGCGGCGCAGACTTGTGTTTTTGTGCAGCCTGGATTAATTGCTTTGGAGGGGTGCTCTGGGGGCAAGATTTCTCTGTGGCCCACCAAAATTTTCTCACTGCCCACCAGTGGGCAACCACTGTTCTAAAGCACCATTTTTGCTTTGAATCCAATATCATGAAGAGAACTACATTTGTAATTAAATTGAATATTCTGTCTGGGTAAACTTCACTACTATTATCTATGGGTTAGTTTTAGCAGAAAAAGCAATTTGATAAGTTCATTTTTGTCAGTGACCATCTTAAAACAAGATTTAACAGAATCCAGCTATGCATGTACAATTTATATGGATATAAGTAAAATAACACAGAACTACATTTTATTAACACTAAAATAAGAGCTAAAACTAATATTTAAGATTAGGTTAGATTTTTTTAAAAAGAATAAAAAATTAATTAAAAGTGAACTCTAAAACTAAATGCTTGGTTTATAGTGCAGTAAAATGTTATATAAAATTATATCCAATTATAAAATCTAATACATTAATAAGTGAACAATTGATTATTCATATATGATAATGTTTGAGAGAGCAAACATGAAGATATTATTCAAATAATCTAGAAATCAGTTGTTTGCATAAATTCAGAGTTGTGTGAAATTTTGCTACATTATGTATAATAAAGCTCCATGATTGTATATCTGACAGACTCAACAGCTTATTGTAGCCCTACGTGGAAATGAAACAAGTATGCTATCCTCCTTGCTAGGAAATTTTGATCTTGAATTATTATATTTCATTCATGTAATTTTGCACTAGCTTTTGCAAGTGATTCAGTCCTAAAAACTGTACAAGATCATACAATTAGGCCAAGTAACTTTTTAGTCCATCAGTCTTCCTCCAATAGGAAGCAATTAGATGTCATTGATTAGTTCACTAGCACACTAGATAGTATACTGAGGTTTACAGTATTGTCAAAAGGAGTAGGGGGTGGCAGTCATGGCCAAGAGGGTCTTTGTGCCAATTGTGTTGTGCACCAGTTGCACCCTTAGCTGGATCTGTACATGGTCCCTCATATCTTAGCTGGATCTGTACATGGTCCCTCAATCATCTCTTGGCTGCATTACTGCCTCATATTCTACATGGAGCTACCCTTGAGTAATTGGAAGCTGCAGCTGATGCAGAATGCAGTAGCATACAACACTTGGAGATCCTAGGACCACAACTGCACATGCTGTGCTGGTTACCTTCAGGATCCAATTCAAGGTGTTGGCTGTTACTTTTAAAGGCCTATATGGCATGGCAGGATATCTAAGGAGCTATGTCTCCTAAATGAGACTAACCTGCCCCACTCATGCCAGTGGAAGAGGTTGGTATGGATCCCATCCTCTGAGGAATTCTAGCAGCAGGTTCAAGAAGAGGCATTTCCACTGTGTTCCATCGCTGGGGAAAACTCTATCACTGGAGATGAGAACTGCTTCCAGCCTTTTGGCCTTCTGGAAGGGTATCAAAACTTGGCTTTGCCAGTTGGCATGGGACCCCAAGAAGGACATTCACCAATCGATGTGGCTGATGGGGTAAGAAGATTTCATTCATGTCCCCTGACTCTTGGTTCTGATGTCAGTATACTTTTAAAATCATAATCTGTGTAGTTTTAATGTTTTAATATTCTAATTTTTTTTTACTTATGCAGCAAGATGGAGATTTAGACTTCCTTGAGGGATTATTTGTCAGAGGGCAAGAATTAACCAGTCCAAATCTTAATTTTATAAGATTTTGTTATATTAATAATAATTGATTATTATTTATTGATAAAAAAGTTTTAGTGCCATAGGAAAAAGAGTTCAGTGTTCAAGTGAACACAATATTGCCTGGAACAGAAATGTTTTTTACAAATGGCACTAAATTTGAAATATTTACTTGTGCAAAATAACTGACAGGTTCTTGAGCTATGTGTACTTCAGTGGCACCATATAGTTTTTTATACTAATAAACATTTAAAAAGTGTGTGCAACCATACAGGATTTTTTTTACTAGACTTTATACAGTCTGTAACTTTACACCCTATTATTTTAGGAGAAAATCAAATATGAATTTAAATTGATATCTGCTCTCCATTTAATGTTAATCCTGCAAGAAAATACAACGAAGTAACACTATAGCAATATCATCGCACAATGAAGATAAAAAAAGGTTGAAGTTTCTCAAACAAATTTTAAAAGCATTTAAAATACTGGAAATAGATACATGTTCAGATTCTACACACCTGTAGGTATCATCTGGATATACTTTCATTACATAATCCTGGAATTCCATATATGCCTTTTCTTGAAATTTTTCAATCTGTTCCACATTTTCTAAGCCTGGATGATCTAAAACAAATCTACAGTTATATTTACTTGAAATAATATAGCTATAAGAAGGGTGCAACTAAACGTATTTTACGACAAATATTTTGATTTTAAAATTGTTCATCACATGTTGAAAATTAGGACTACATCATTTATACTTTGCTGGAATAGTAACATTTTATTTGAACAGGTAAAGACATCAGAACTCAATAGTTCCCATAAAAATTATCAGAACTTGAAATCTATTGAAGTAAAAAATGCTTTCTGACCCACTTATGGGGAAGATCATAGTCCTTGGGTAATAACAATTACATTACAAAATTGGACATTCCTTCCAAGATCTATCCAGAGTAAAGGATAGCATTTTATTAACTTGAGCTTCCTAGGCAATCATGGCAGATTTCCAAGTGAAACCCTGCCTTCCCAATAAAATTAAATGAATCCCAAGATCTTGCATTAGGTTATCAATATTTTGAGATTTTGACGATCCAGCCTCCAGAAATTATGAATGCTCCAACACTGGAAGTTTTTAAGAAGAGATTGGAAAACCATTTGTCTGAAATAGTGTGGACCTAGGGGTTCCTGCCTGAGCAAGATGTTGGACTAGAACTCCTCCTCCAGGGTCTCTTCCAACTCTGTTATGCTGTTTTGTTTTGTTCTGTTTTGTTCTGTTCTGTCCTGTCCTGTCCTATTCTTTTCTACTCTACTCTATTCCATCCCTATCCCTATCCCGAAATTTTGTTACTGAGACATACACATCGTCAGATTCCACAAATTGCTCCACTTCAGCATCATAACCATGTAAGAACTTAGCATCAATCTGGACCACATTCACAGCCCACATACTGATTTAGAGATGACTGAGACATCCATATATTTTTGTTAATTATTTGATTATATCTATGTGTTGGTAAGATGAAACATGAACAAAATTGATTATCTCAGTCAGTATATTTATAGAAAAGTTAACTATGGCACAAGCTATTTCCCTCATGGAGAGAATGTTTCCATGCCAAATACTGTATATTCAAATATGTCTGAATTAGATGTATTGAAATTAGTGTAATACCAAGTAAAATAGCTAAGGACAATCATTTTTATTGCCATGCATAAGAATTTATATATGACAAGGCAGCTATTCTGTTCCATATTTTCACACAGACAGAAGAAGGACAAATGCTTTAAATTCATCTATTTACATACCAGGACTGAAGAGGACAATTGCTTTCAAATAAGCATATTCATAACCATCAAGACAAAGCTTCACCATGCTGTTGCAGAACTCCTGAAGTTTGAAGATATGCTCCATCATTAGTTTTCCTCTATCTGCTGATAACTTATCTACATTAATACAAAGCAATACAAAGATTCTTACTATCTTAGAATTTTAAATTATTTTAAATTTAAATAAATTTAAATCCAGATAGCCACTATTATACTCTTAGTCAAAAAATTGTTAATTACACTTTTCACAATCTATGTAGCAGTTTATTACTCTAGCTGCAGAAATACATAATATATTTATATCTATCTATCTATCTATCTATCTATCTATCTATCTATCTATCTAT